CCCGTCATAGTATAGTGTGTAGTCCGTAATCATGAAAAAACATCATAGTATAGTATGTCGTCCAAAATCATGTAAAAACGTCATAGTATAGTGTGTAGTCCAAAATCATGAAAAAATGTCATAGTATAGGATGTCGTCCAAAACCATGAAAAAAAGTCAAAGTATTGTATGTTGTCCAAAATCATAAAAACCCGTCATAGTATAGTGTGTAGTCCGTAATCATGAAAAAACATCATAGTATAGTATGTCGTCCAAAATCATGTAAAAACGTCATAGTATAGTGTGTAGTCCAAAATCATGAAAAAATGTCATAGTATAGGATGTCGTCCAAAACCATGAAAAAAAGTCAAAGTATTGTATGTTGTCCAAAATCATAAAAACCCGTCATAGTATAGTGTGTAGTCCGTAATCATGAAAAAACATCATAGTATAGTATGTCGTCCAAAATCATGTAAAAACGTCATAGTATAGTGTGTCGTCCGAAATCATGAAAAAATGTCATAGTATAGGATGTCGTCCAAAACCATGAAAAAAAGTCAAAGTATTGTATGTTGTCCAAAATCATAAAAACCCGTCATAGTATAGTGTGTAGTCCGTAATCATGAAAAAACATCATAGTATAGTATGTCGTCCAAAATCATGTAAAAACGTCATAGTATAGTGTGTCGTCCGAAACCATGAAAAAAAAGTCAAAGTATAGTATGTTGTCCAAAATCATGAAAAAATGTCATAGTATAGTATGTCGTCCGAAACCATGAAAAAAAAGTCAAAGTATAGTATGTCGTCCAAAATCATGAAAAAATGTCATAGTATAGTATGTCGTCCGAAACCATGAAAAAAAAGTCAAAGTATTGTTTGTCGTCCAAAACCATGAAAACCCGTCATAGTATAGTGTGTAGTTCGTAATCATGAAAAAAAGTCATAGTATAGTATGTTGTCCAAAATCATTAAAAAAACATCATGGTATATTATATCGTCCAAAATCATGAAAAAAAATCATAGTATAGTATGTCGTCCGAAAACATGAAAAAAAGTCATAGTATAGCATGTCATGCAAAATCATGAAAAAACATCATAGTATAGCATGTCGTCCAAAATCATGAAAAAAAGTCATAGTATAGCATGTCGTCCAAAATCATTAAAAAAACATCATGGTATATTATATTGTCCAAAATCATGAAAAAAAGTCATAGTATAGTATGTCGTCCAAGATCACGAAAAAACGTCATAGTATTGCATGTCGTCCAAAATCATGAAAAAACGTCATAGTATAGTGTGTAGTCCGTAATCATGAAAAAAAGTCACAGTATAGTGTGTAGTCCGTAATCATGAAAAAAAGTCATATTATACAATGTCGCCCAAAACCATGAAAAAATGTCATGGTATAGTATGTCGTCCAAAATCATGAAAAAAAAGTCATAATATTGTATGTAGTCGAAAATCATGAAAAAAAGTCATGTATGTCGTCCAAAATCATGAAAAACATCATAGTATAGTGTGTAGTCCAAAATCATGTAAAAACGTCATAGTATAGTATGTCGTCCAAAACTATGAAAAAAAGTCATAGTATAGTATGTCGTCCAAAATCATAAAAAAGTCATAGTTAACTATGTCGCCCAAAACCATTAAAAAAAGTCATAATATTGTATGTAGTCGAAAATCATGAAAAAAGTCATAGCATAGTATGTCGTCCAAAATCATGAAAAAATGTCATAGTATAGTATGTCGTCTGAAACCATGAAAAAACGTCACAGTATTGTATGTTGTCCAAAATCATGAAAAACCGTCATAGTATAGTGTGTAGTCCGTAATCATGAAAAAAAGTCATAGTATAGTATGTCGTCCAAAATCATAAAAAAAAGTCATAGTTAACTATGTCGCCCAAAACCATGAAAAAAAGTCATAGTATTGTATGTAGTCCAAAATCATGAAAAAACATCATAGTATAGCATGTCGTCCAAAGTCTTATGCTTTAGTATCAGTTGACCTTTAAAAATACATGTCCAGGCAGTATACTCTGCATGTATCCACACGATGTGCACACACACACACACTCACCGGTGTATTGTATTGGATGCAGGATCTGATAGGATCTGATGTTCAAGGACTGAAGTGGGAAGTACCCAGGATCTGATAGGATTTGATGTGCATGTATGACATCATTATGTTCGGGCTTATGTGGGAAGGATTAAAGAGAAGAGCATAAAAGAGAGCACACAGACAGCAAAACTTCAGTCCTGCTCCGGAGCTTGACTCATTGAGTGGTATGTGTTGTTGCCTGCGAACACATTAAACTCAGTTGCACTCGATTCTACGTGTCTCCAGTGATTCCTTGACTGCTGAGTATTTGGTTTTAAAGATATTTATTTTGGACAAGAGCAAAAGTAGTCTAAAAGTTGAAGACGAGGTCGGGACCCACCAGGCCCAATTCCGGGCCCCAAATTCTGCTTCATCAATAGTATAGTATGTCCTCAAAAATCATGAGTAAAAACGTCATAGCATAGTATGTCGTCCAAAATTATGAACAAATGATGTAGTATAGGTCATAGTATAGTATGTCGTCAAAAATCATTAAAAAAAACGACATGTATGTCGTCCAAAATCATGAATATACGTCATAATATAATATGTCGTCAAAAATCACAAAAAAAAGTCATAGTATAGTGTTTTTGTCAAAAATCTAATTTCGTGTAAAATGTTAAAAAATCTTCATAGCATAGTATGAAAAAGTCCTAGTAGAGTATGTCAAAAGAAGTATCTTTAATAAAATCATAGTGTTGTCTGTCATAAAAATAAATCGTCATTAAGTAGTCATAGTATGATAGATCAGAAATGTCATAAAATAGTCACTCCCTAACTTCATGTCATGGTAAATCAAACATTACCTTTAAATTAAACACATATTCATGACAAGCATAAATGAAGTTTTCTGTATTATCACATATTTAACAAAATCTGCAATCAAGGGGTGGCAAGGTCAAGTTACACAAACCAACTCAAGTCCTTTTTCTTTAATGTGTTTGTAAACTATGACCTGGTTTATTTCATCAGTTCATGACTTTGCCAGCAGATGGCAGTGCATGACTGTTTCTACTTAACAGTTTTGGTACAATAGCAGCACATCCTACTTCACAGAGGACAGACTATAAAGCACAGGTGAGCTAATAACATTCATACAGTACTCTGATAATATTCATTCAGATCCAGATCCATTTCTATCTATATTCTGAAGGTTTCAACAGAGGGGTTTGTTCATACTGTACATGATTGATAGTCTGATTTATGGGACACTTTTTTCCTAAAATCATTGCAAATTTTGTTTTTTTAAATGGCTGTTGGAAGTATTTTCTGATTTCGAAAGTGATAAAATGAGATATTCAAAACTGTTAATATGTCAACAAATGTCTGAAAACTTGCAATACAGAAAATAGTATTCTTATTGTAGGTAATCAACTGGGGAAGTTTCATGGTGTTAAAAAGATCAGTAACTTTGTTTACCCCTTCTGAATTCTAAGGCCAACAGACAATTACGAGCATGATGATGATGATGATGATGATAAAAACTACTGTGACTGAAGTGAAGTCAGTGTTTAAGTAGATAAAAATGGTGCAGTGGAAAATAGTGTTTTAAACAATCTGTAATCTTAGATAACACACACACAGGCTTTGTGTAGATCATCATTTTAGATAGGGAAATAGCAGCTCCGAAAGATGTTATCAGCATTTTCAAGTTCTGAAGAACATTGACGTTCTGGAGTGACTTTTAAAACTACAATTTTCTGCAATTATATTTCTGTTGATGAACCTTGTGTGGACATTTTGAAGTGGAGTCACTGAATGAGGAGGAACAACGCTGTTGTCTGGACAGGCCCAGAGAGTTAAAAACAATTTAAGGGTCTCCACCAGGACACCTTCCCCCACAGTCGACCAATAATTTGAATCTTTGTAGACAACATTCTTTTTTCACTTTCTCCCCTACCCAGGGAGTTTGAGGTCAGAGGTCACCTGCACAACAACCCTCTGGAACTTACAGACATTCAGTGTCCTCCTTAAAGACACCCCAGCGGACTCAATTAAACATGGACACAACCTTGAACTCCAGTAGAAGGACATTCTACCTCATCAATAGCAACCTGGTGTAATTTAACTAAGGACACAGTATATCATTTACATTACGCCTACTCGAATTATCAATCATGCAATTGTGGCGTTTGCATCGAAAAATCAATGCTCCTCTGGGGCGATGTAAAACTGCTCTGGCCTTACCAGTCCATCTGAGGCCAGCCAATAATTTGCCCGCAAACAGATCCGTCCACACACACACACACACACACACACACACACACACACACACTTGGACGTCACAATGAACACTGTGTAAGGCTGCTGACGCATGGAGGGGGGTAAAGTCCATTGTACAATACTGTGGATTGTTTGAAAGGGGTCACAATGGCCACCTCCAACCAGGACTAGTAAATGTTTACCAGATCTACATTCTTTACATTTTTCCGTTTGCACTTTAACTTTTTAAAACAAGCTCTGATGTGCTTTATTTCTAACACTGTTGGATATTTCCTGGCAATGTTGAGATTATGTTAAAATGATCTGCATATTTCCCAGCTGGCTACCAACATTGTTAAATCCCAGAAATTTGGTTGAATTTAAGTTGTCGTTGGGCGACCAAATTCAGTGTCAGGACGTCAAATGCCAGTGTCAATTTGAGGCACTGAAGACATATATTTGTTGGTTTTCCAACCAATCCAACGTGTCCCAAACATCTTGTGGTTACGTCATCTTGACATAGAATGATGTTGCAGATCGTGATATTCTTATGCCATTGGACATTTAAAATATTGTCACCACAATTTTCATTCAGCTGTCCAACATAAGAGTCCAACATCTTTCTGACCCATATTCACGTCTGGTGCCAGCTAGGTTCAGACTAAAGGAAAATCCAAATAATGAAGCCAAAGTCCATTTACCAATCGATACAAACAAGGTTAGGTGTAATAAAGTTAAACTTTTATTGCAAACCAAACATGGTCACATAAATCTTAAACAATTTTACAATTTACAGAACATTTAACATGTATTGTTACATATACATATTTAAGCATACCTTAAGTCATTTTTTGTTCAATATACATTAAAACTAGTACACATAACTCCAAATATACAAACAAACTTAAATACCATCAAACTGCATTACAGCAATATTAAAATGGAATGTTCAGTTTCGATGGCGTCGGCCCAGCTGCGGGCCGCCGTTACATTATTGTGAGGCGAATGGAAGACTATATGAGGGGGACACAGTTGGCAAGCAGAACTCCACAGACACCTCTGAACGCATTGCTCCTCTTTCTCCACTAGCAGCTGTGCTCTCTCTTTCTCTTTCTCTACCACCATTAATTGTTTTATGTGCAAATGAAGATACGAAACATCGTTTGAGTTCTCTACGTCTCACGTGTTAAAGCCTGAAACAGGTGCGTTAAATTTGTAAATTTGGTGCTACTTCAATCCTCTCTAGCGACTTAAAATAACACAGCTCCTCCCACCTGCAGTTAGGCGTGGAGCAACAAGAAACATTGGTGACTTTAAGGTTGACGCAGACAAACCCAAAAGATGTGTTTGGATGTAGAGAAAAAAATAAAAGGCACCTTTGAGAGAAAAAATAAAACATCCCCCTCTGTAACATTCAGCTTTAAAATGGCTCCCTTTTTAACCACACAAATAGAAATGAAAAGAAACTAAAGCACCAAAACATGAACGTCATCTTCAAGCTACTCATTCAAAGTCAACAGGTGGGTTCCCCGGTGGATGGGTGGACAGAATCTCAAAGGAGGGAAGGTGTTCGCTACATAGATGAAGATGGAAATCCTTGTCAGGGCTGGTACAGTACGGTCCAGGCTTTCTCTTTTCAGAGAAGGTGGAAGTTGGCGTGTGTGCTTGTCAGTTGTGGCTTCAGGGTCGAGGCTGGCTTTTAAGCTGCCTGAGCTGTGTGCAAAGGACCTCCGCTATCCGGAAAGAGATTGACTACTGAAGGCTGCAGAGCTTTTGTGTCTATTGTGGAAGGCTGAAGAATTTGTGCGTCAGTAGATCAGGGTTAGATGGAGGATTACAACCCCGATGAGTCATCTAATCGTGGCAGGCATACTCTTGCGGCATGTCTTTTTACAAGAGTTGGAGCGATTATGGCAAGTACAGGTTTCAGTTCTTTGCAGATGCAGAGTTGTTGCAGGGGGTTTGTTGGGGAATGTCCACCATCCTGATGGGAAACGTAAAGTGTAGTCAAGATGCAAGTCCATGGACACGCCACAGTTCATGTCCTGTAAATCTGAATTGGTGTCCATTGAGTGCCTTTGTTTGAATCCTATAGGTAGGAGTCCATAGATGGGGCGTAGGAGAAGCCCACGAAGGCCTCAGCAGCCTCTTTGATGCTGGCTGTGACTAGAGCGCTGTCTGGGGAACAGCCAATGGAGCTGGGCACAGGCTCGTCTGTGAACTCTGGATCAAAGTGCCGCAGGTCGTTGGGTCCCGTCTGAGGGGGAAGGAAGGCGAGGGGAGACAAGCAGGGATTAGTCTGGCTGTAAAATACCTTGCCATAATTGGAAATGTTTTAATTCACAGCGAGGATGTTCCACGCTCCTGATCTAGTTACGTAAATGTGAGCACTGAGGATTAAGACAAAAGCAAGTCTGTGGACTTTAGCTACTAAACTGTAGAAAATCATAAAATCTGCCATAATCAGCACTTATTTGGGTATTAAATAGGAACGTACCACGTTGGGGTTGAAGGGAGGGGTGATTTTCTTGGCGTTGAGCTCATCCCAGTTGATGGGGGAGAAGAATATGTGGTTCTTAATTTCAATCTGCGAAGAGACGGAAATGACAAATTATTACATAACGTCTTTTAATACACATAATATGTAAATATGCACACAGATACACACATACGATCCACATAACTAAACACTTACAAAGTCCTCTGTGCAGCCCAGCCTCTTAGTTCGGTCCTTCTGCAGAAGGCCCTCCAGCAGGTGTCTGGCTGCGTTGGAAATGTTGGGTTTCAGCTGCAGCGGCTTGTTCAGGATGTTGTCGTACATCTCCGCTGTGTTGCGGCTGTAGAACGGAGGCTGGGGGAGGGACAGAAAATGGAACCGATTAGCATCTTGGCAGCAAGAAAGAGAGGAATCCATATGACAGACACGGGTTGTGTCATTTGAAGTCATGCACAGAAACATGCACAAACACGTGGAACAAAAATGAGATAAGATTGTATCATTGTGTGCTGTGTAACTCAGTATTACAGTACATACTTCTGGCATTTATTAAAGCTAGAGTTGATAACTTTTATGAAAATAACTGTGATATTTGCTGAAACTGTTAATATTTCTACAAAGTAGTACATGAGTCAGATTATCTCTGAAATAAATCATGTTGCTGCTCCTTCTGCTAGTGCTTCTAATGGCATTTGCTAGAATCCAACACAGCTACAAGTAAACAACCAATCAGAGCCGAGGAGTCTCTAACACAGCTGTCAGTCATTTCGATGGATTCTGGCAAATTCTAAAGCTACAGTTGCTATTTTCTAGAAAAATAACTTTTTGACATATATCCTGAAACTGTCACTATATCCACACAGTAGTACCTGAGACAGATAATCTGTGACAAAGGATCATGTTCCCCTGACGCCTCTTAGTGCTTCTAATGGCATTTGCTAGAATCCACCAGAAGGAAAAGAACCAAGAGTCTTTAATGCAGCTGTCAGTTATGTCAATGGATTCTTTTAAAGGCCATTAGGAGCACTATGAGGAGGCAGAGGAACGTAATTTATTTCACAGATTATCTGTCTCATGTACTACTGTGTGGATATAGTGACACCTCCCTTACAGTAGTACATGAGACAGATAATCTGTGAAAAAAAAGTTCCTCTGCCTCCTCTTAGTGCTCCTAATGGCCTTTGCAAGAATCTATTGACATGACTAGCAGCTGCATCCTCAACTCTGATTGGTTATTTTCCTTCAGTCACTGTGGCTTCTAGTAAATGCCATTAGAGGCACTATGAGGAGGCAGGAGAACATGATTCTTTTCTCAGATTATTTGTCTCATGGACTACTGTGTGGATATAGTGACAGTTTCAGAACATATGTCAAAAAGTTATTTCCAAAAATACTTAGTTTGGGGGGTAACTTTACTATACACTAATGTAACTTAAATCTGAATGTTACTCACCAGGCCGTACAGCATCTCATAGAGAACAGCTCCTAAACACCACCAGTCTACCGTCCTGTCATACGGCTGCTTGTGTAGAACCTCAGGAGCTAAATACTGCAGATAGAAAAAGACAGGAAGAGATGGTGAGCTTGCTGAATATTACAGAGTGCTGTCAAGTTCTGAATTGCCACATATTCTGTCCTTACCTCTGGCGTACCGCAGAAGGTCGACGTGGTCCCGTTGGGCTCGATGTTCTCCTTGCACAGGCCGAAATCTGTAAGAATGATGTGTCCCTGTGAGTCCAGCAGGATGTTCTCTGGCTTCAAGTCTCTGTAGACGATGTTGAGGGAGTGGAGGTAGCCCAGTGCACTGGCGATCTCTGCTGAGTAGAACCTGGCTCTGGGCTCGAGGAAGCAGCGTTCTCTCTGTAGGTGGTAGAACAGCTGGAAGACAAAAAATAACAGTGTTTTAGTAACAAAACCTTAAAGCTACGTTAGAGATTATCCAGACAATCACATGAGCAGAGATAGGAAATTAGAGGAGCAACGATAAAGAGACAGATACAAGAGGAAACCGGATGGGAGGAAATAAAGAGGCAGGAAGGCGACAGCTTAAAAAGTTTGACAAGTGAAGACGAATGAAACGAGGGCCAAAGGTGGAGCCAAAGAGCAGCAGGATAGAGGGGGGGGGGAAGAGGGGAAGAAAAGAGAAAGGGGAGAAGTGAATGCGTCCTGTTTCCCCGATGAGGCCCATATTTAATCAGCCCTGTCGTTGCTCGTCCAACAATTGCAGGAAATTAGCTCGATTAGACACACACTGAGTCTCAATGCTGCTGCTAATTTTGGCCCTGAGTCTCTCCCGCTGTCCCAACCCACCCCGTGATTTCCTGAGAGGTGTTTCCTTTCCAGAAAGAAAGAAAGACAGAGAGCTGCAGCTTCTACTCTGCTTCTCATGACAGGATATCCCCTCTGTCTGTCTGTGCTTCTGCCTCGTCTTTATCTCTGATTCTGGCACTATATTATTCCTTTTTAAACTTCCCTTCTTCCTCCAACTATATCCATCATTAAAAAGTCCTCCTACCCTATTCATTCATCTTAAGTTCTTTCTTTAAATAGCCCAGCTTCTCCCTCCTCTTCTATCATCTCTGCTTCGCATCCTTATCGTTTCCTGGCAGCTAGTTAACTCACCTCGCCTCCATTGATGTAGTCCAAGATGAAGTAGAGTTTGTCCGCTGTTTGGAAAGAGTAGTGCAGGCCCACCAGGAACGGGTGCTTGACATTCTTTAGCAGCACATTCCTCTCTGACATGATGTGTTTCTCCTGCGGAATGCAAGAAGATGGGGGGTTAGAAAGGTGCAGGAGAACACGACTTTTGTTGCATGTGCACTTTTTTTTGCACACTTACCTCCTTCTTCTTGAGGATGGCCTTTTTCTGTAAGACTTTGACTGCGTAAAACTGGTCATCCGTGCGGTGGCGTGCAAGCAGCACCTTGCCGAAGCTGCCTTTGCCGATCACCTTGAGGAAGTGGAAGTCGCTGGGTTTGGCTGACGGGTTGGAGGACGGACCGAGGTTGATCTGTTGGGATGGACTGGGCTGCAAGAGGGGAGAAGACGAAGAGGTTAGAACCACATTATGATATACAGGGGATATATGTGTGTATCTCTGCATACGATGAAATATAAACAAAGGAAGCTTAGTGCAAATATACTTACAGGGGGAGACGGGTTTGCGTTCATGAGCTCAGCATCCTGAGGGGGACTCAAGTTCAGAATAGACTGAACTTCAGGACTGGAAAAAGAAAACAGAGTTCAAACTTAGTTCATTCAGCAAAGCATCTAAAGTATCCTCATTTGTGTTTAGATGTGAATCAGCTGATCTGGGAGTCACATTAAGTCACAGAGATTCTCCAGAGGACACATAACTGGGATTTCTGGTTGTGTTTCCCAGCGGGTTTTGTCCTCCAGCGAATGCAGAACAATAACATGAGTCAGATGGTACTCACTGCTTGCAGGCGTAGGAGTTTGTGGCAAGCCTCTGAATGAAGTCGTTCAGCCCCATCTTCCTCTGTTTCATAAAAGCTGCAGCACAGGAGAGAGAAAAACAGAAAATAAAAGTTTAGGTTATCTTTAGTAAAAGCCAAAAACAAATCCATCCATGTCAAGAAAAAGCAGCTTTAAACATCCAGTTAGGATTCCATACCGGTGACTAAAGCCACAAGCCCTCTAGACTTGGAATAAGTCAGGACAGACTTTTCTGTTTCTGTTTTGATCGTCATGATGTGATGAGTTGAACAGCAGCTGAAAATATAACCATCAGGCCTCTGGCTGTTGTTTTATAATAAGCCCGGGGAGGAGGGAGGAGCTACCCCCCTTCCTTTCCTTTCCTTTCCTTTCCCCTGCAAACACCCACACCCCCTGGTAGGCGTGATCCTGTGCAAACAGTTCTTTCATCTAAATGGACCGTGAGAAGATGATAGATCCCGTTGTGGGCCAATCAGAGGCCGTTGCGCTTGTAGCGCGTCATAGCCGCACCTCAAGATGTGCTTGCGTCAAAAACATAGGAAAAAAGTGAAAAAAATAAATGCCTTTACCGCAGCTCACTGAAAGGCTGCATTATTTGCACATATGTTTGTGCAACACCATAGCAACTTTGCTCAATACCCCATGTGTCACACAGTCTTAGCTTGTCACCAGGACAGCAAGACAGGGACATTTCAGACTGTAACAAACCCTATAAGCTAATGACATCCAGATGTGTCCATTAATATAACATACGATGTAGCTTAATGTTCCAGGGAATACAGAAACTGTACATACATGTAAGCATGAAATGAAAGCTCGAGAGAGTTCATGACATTCGGGATTAGTCTCCAAGCTCCTGATTATTTTTGTAACCCGGTATCCATGCCTCCTCTCCGCCTGTAACCCCCAACGAGACTGCAACTTGGTCCTGTATAAATAATCTGATCTGAATCAGGCCTATCAGCTTCACCATTTGGCTGCTACTCAATTAAAACGGCCGGGAGTGACGCAGGCTTTCCCTCGGTGTACAAAAGACGAGAGGGAGAGCCTGAGCCTGAGCCGAGGGAGGCCCGGTGCCAAGAAAAAAAGCCGCTGGTAGTGGAAAAGTACAGACTGAGAAACCTCCTGAATAACTCAAACGAGGAAGAAAAAACATAGATCGGACCCGGGATCTGTTTTAACCTACCGACAAGTCTCTCAGAAGCAGCCAAAATAATCCAATGTGATGATCAGGGTGGAATTGTGTGGAGAAGTGCGGCTTGTTTTGCGTTCTGTGCGCTGGCACAGAGAAGAGCAGACGGGTTGGGTTAGGTACGGTTATGTAAGGCACCTGGTTCAAGTTTTATCAGCACGCCTGAGTGGAGGAGAAGTATGTAAGACGATACCGCATATGAAGACAAAACCTATTTAAAAGTAGAATGATGGCCGCGCGTAAACAGGACGGAGACATAGAACAATAATATAAATGTAAGTTATAAATGTAAGTTGCAATGAGTGTAACAGTTTACAGAGAAGAGCATGATCAATGCAAGTCATCAGCTGTAACTTTGCTGCACACTACAAGCACTCACAATCCACAAAGTCGTGCGTAAAAGCGCACAGAACCGGTATAATTCCACTCAATTGCCTGCAAAAGAAACACACCAGCTCCAGTTTCCACAGAGCACAAACGAACCTTTGAGATCCGAGCGAGTCCTCATTTCTGCCTGCAGCGCCAGGAGCTTCAACAAGTTGCAAAGTACGAGTTGCCAAGGTTTCTCTGGCACTTTTAAAACAGACCTCCCCTCCCTATCAGCGAGGGTTTTCCATAGATAACGGCATCATAAATCCAGGTCACAGGGATTACGGGGTGAATGGAGAGCCCCCCCCCCCAAGTATGTCTGCCAAAGCTTTCTTCCTCACAGACACTCCAGTCACAGAGAAGTAGGTTAGGGAGCTTTGGCTTTTACAAAAGAGACTATAAATACCACAATAGGCTGGTAACCGCAGAAACACCATTAAGTCGCACAGCGCAGACCTACAGTTTTCCTACATGAGGGATATTATAGAGATCGGATGGTGAAACCCATCGCTGTTGCTTTAAAAATGAATATGCAGCCTACTTACACGTCAAAGTGGTCGTTTTGTCTTTCATAAGGACGCTTTATTTCCCGGATCACAACAAGCAGGGGGGCTTTAGGCTCCTCGGCAGGCAGGTAATCGAACTACACAGCACTCCTCCTCCTTGAGACTTTCATCCACAAGATGTTTTTTTTTTTATTTCTCTGCAGGGCGGAGACGTCCCGCCTCTATTTCCTTCCACTCTCCAGCTCGCTGGTTCATACATGGCTCAATGAGTTTCCCTCAGGGCGGGGGGGGGGGGGGGGGGGGGGGGCGTGCTGCATTCAAATACTCCTCATAAGCTCATACTTTAGAGTTCAGCCATTGGAAATATTGACTTAACTTGTGTTTAATTACAAAAGAAACAAATAGTTCAGTGGTAACACTTAAAAATAAGGGGCACAAAGTCGTGAGTAGTGTAAGCAGTATATTTACTAATTTATTTCTGCAGCTGCTTTCCCCAGCACCGAAATAAACAGGAAGTTATAAACACAACAAACAGATGGATTATTAAAGGTCCAGCGTGTAGAATGTAGAAAAAAATATTGGCAGATTATAAAGATGTTTCTTTAGTGTATAATCATCTGAAAATAACAAGCATGTTACTGTATGAGTGAAATTGTGTGATCTTGTTTACACATAGTGTCTACAGTAATGTTAAGAGGTTCTGGTATCAGGTATTTTCAGGTATTTATTATACTAGTTGGCGCTAGTCAAGCAGATCTGACATCTGTGTTCGGACTTCACTGAAGTCATGAAGAAAACCCAGAGCATGTTGGATGGTTTTATTCCTTCACACAAGCCCACGTTGCTGACATTACCTCAGAATGTGCGGTTCATATCTACAAAGGGTGCTGCTCCTCATCTATGGTGATCGCCATGTTGCACCGCCATGATTCTACAGTAGCTGAGAATATACGAACCAAACACTGGGTCTGTATAGGACCAAGTGTGTTGGTGCGTTTTAGTGTTTTAGAATTTTAGCATTTTATCATCGGCCACTGTAGTTAGCAGCCCCGTGATAAGAGTGTCAGAAAAACACTTTTTTTTTTTTTAACAGGAAACCGCTTTATTTTGTGTTTTTGTCATGTTATATAACTTGGTCCATTTGTTTTGGAGAGGAGGAGACCTCTGCAGATAATTTGGATCTTGGTAAAAACCTCCTGAACGTCTGGATCTTAAGTTATGAGAAAAAAAATTGAGCACACATTAGCAGCTGGGCTAGCTGCCACGCATGTGACAAGCCGAACTGCACTGGAAAAACACTGATTTGTAACGTGAAACCACTTTATGCAGCATTTTCACCTGTTTCATTCACAAAGTCTATTTGTTTTGGAGAGGAAGAGACCTCTGTGGATAATTCGGCTTCTGATAAAAACCTCCTGAATGTCTGGATCTAAAGTAATCAGAGAAAAATTTGAGCACACGTTAGCAGGTGCTAGGCTCGCGAAATACCGATTTGTAATTTAAATGGCTTTATTCAGTGTTAATCACCAGGTCCGTTTGTTTTGGAGAGGAAGAGACCTCTGCAGATAATTCAGCTCATAAAACCTACTGAATGTCTGGATCAGAAATAAGGTTATCAAACATTAATCAGACAAAAAGGTGAGCACACATTAGCAGGTGCTGGGCTAGCAGCTAATCTCAGACGTGCCAAACAGCGTAGGAAAAACACCAATTTGTAACGTAACTGCTTTATTCTGTGTTTTTACTGGTTTTAATCACCTGGTTGGTTTGTTTTGGAGACCTCTGTGGATAATTTGGCTCTCTGTAAAACCCTCCTGAAAAATGAAGAAATTCTAACAGGAGAAGTTTCAGCTGGTTGCAATCTGCAATCTTAACTATTAGATGCCACTAAATTCCCGAAAATGTCACACACTGTTCCTTTAAACCAAATAAAAGGAAGTACTGGGAAGAGAATTCATATGACAATGTCTATTTAAACACATAATAGAGACCAACTGTCACTTGATGACACTATTTTTTTAAGCTTAGCACTTCCTCATCCATCTGTATTCCACTTGAAACCACACCTTTCTTTATTTGTAACCTTTCAACATCACATAAAGGCAAAAACAGGTTTATAGTTAAAGGCTATATGCAAACATTTGGTCCTCTCAAACTTCCCCTTGTAGGCAGTTTTTTTCCACTGCAGTCTGCTAGCTGAGGCCATTCACCTGCTGAGCCCGGAATTAAAAAGTAACCCAGGTTTGGAAATTCACTGAGCTCACATTCATTCAAAGTCAGGGAGTTGCCAACAAGTTGAGGCCATATTAATTGACCATGTCTCTTGATGCAGTGCTCTCCCAGCTATTTGGTGCATGTGTGCACATGCAGGATGTTTTGTTGATGTTTATTGTCTTGAGACATATTGTGTGTGCGTGTGAGTCAGTAGGGAACAGAGAGAGAAAAAATGAAAGGATAGATAGATGTGAGAACACCAGGGGCAAAGCACTAAAGATATGGACAGCAGATGCAGTGAGAAAAACATCATGGCAATGTGAATCAGATGAGGAATAAACAGAGATGAGATGAGCATCTTTTAACCCAATCGCTAGAATAAATGTTGGCATTGTATGCAAACCACAGATATGGAACATTTGTACATTATTACATAGCGGATATGTTGAAACATAAGTTAATTTTTGAATGCTGGCTTTCAATGTTTCTGCAAACCACAGATAGTCTACATTTTTACGTTATTGTGTAGCAGATATGTTGAAACTTTGCATTTCAACAATGCTGTTGTTTGCATGTGATTGATTTAGACACAACAACCACTTGATTATGGCTAAGACAAAATCATGTTTTGGCTTAAAATACCTGGATTTGGGGGCACAGTCCCTGCTAGAAATGCAGCAATGTCTTGGTAAAAAAAACAGCTGCTTTTTGTGGCACTATCCCCGCTGGATAAACAGTAGTGGGTCACAAAAAATATCCATATTTGGTGACTAAGG